TCTACCTGGGTTTTCTTGTTCATTCGGGCGTGGACTTGTCTTGGAACAAGGAAGGCCACAAAGTTTTCCCATGAGGATGTCTCTCCGAGCCACCGCAGCCAGCTCGAAGTGCATCAGAGAGTGCATCAAATTGCCGATATCGTTAACGATCGTGTGGACGACTGGGAAGCAAAATGTTTACAGCCTCTATCATCCTCATGTTTTATTCTCGTTGACTTTATCTGATATGATATTTCCAACCTACTCATGCCGCAAGAGGAATCAGCTGTCTATCAGATCCACAGGTCAACCAATTTTGATGGTCAATTCCAGTAAACGAGAGGGTAGTAGTCTGCTGTTCTCGGTATGGTCGGTGTTACACTATCTCTGTTACTCCATACTTGCATCCGTTCGTTTGCCATCGCTTGAACTTGTGTAGATGGATGTTCAGTCTATGTGTGTTAGCTCTAGATCTGGCTGAGATAACGGCATTTGTTCTGTTGAGAGCTTGGAACAGCTCCTTTGTGTGCGTTGGAGCAATGGTTGGTCACATAATCTTTTTTTGCAAGAACCTCTTGGTTTCGACACCGGAAGAGTACTTCTGCTCAAGTGTATACTTTGCCGCTTTCGCTCTCCTGATGCACCCTACGTCCTGTTCCAGATGCTGGTCAAGGCTCTTTCACGTTTTGCTCATGTCCCATGTTTCTTCTGTTCCTGAACTTCATCAGTCTTTGTCGCGCCAGGGTCTCCCCTGCGACCACGTCAGAATAAATGGCGACAAGATCTCGACACGCAACAGGTGGGTAGTCCTCGGGTGAAGGGAGGAAGCCTATTGATACTTACTGTTTGCTTGTGTTTGCGGCCTGACACATCTGCATAGGGGTGCTGTAACATAGATAGCTCAATCTTGTACGCCAATCCAGCACGTGAGAACCTACGATCATACGCTGTGTCGTTTGAGAGCATGATTTTTCCACGATCGCAAGAGTGAAAAGTCTCAAGCTCCAGAGGTGCATTCGATTCTAGTCACCGTAAGGGCTGACCACGCTCTCGTGGTGAACCTTTCGTGAAACGTTGAGCGAGCATAGAGACTGTGCAAGGATTTCGCATAAATTACGTCGAGAACATAACACATAACAGACAAGGGTTCTTGACTTCTGCTCAGTCTCGGAAAGATATCGATCAATACACAAATCTCGTCGCTGCAAAGCCGTCTGATTCTCGACAAGTCCAATTCTACAAAACTAGCAGACAGCTCACTAACGCGTGTATGCATCGGACATGTCAAGATTGTCGGGAAAAGCGGAGCAACGGAACTGAGAGGCTCGACTATATGGTCTGCAGCGTTGTTCATCCAGA